TTCAAGATGGGGGGGGCGGGGGGTTATTTAAAACTCCTTGAACAAGCTTTAGTTAAAATGGTGCCCTGCCACCATTTTCAAAGCGTGGGGATGCTGATACATGAGACGTGGAGGCTGGCTGGAGTGCACCAGTTAGCACGCTCCAGCAGACTCATCCAGCAGACAGAGTGTGTCAGAGCAGCCTCCCAGCATGTGCACAGGCACCCTACTCCAAGCCCATCTGCACCAGATCTAAATCCATTAATTGCAGAGTGACGTGAGAAGACCTCAATCCACCACCACTATGCCTATGCCCTCTGGGATGAGCTGAAGGTCACCACCTGACACACAACTCCTTTGGCTATGCAGTTGTACCAACACCTGATGGGTATCCTTGCTGTTTCTGCGTAACGTTTGTGACAAGTGGCAACAGGAAGTGGGAGCCATTTTGTCAAATCCATGCCAATACCCAGGGCTGAGAGAAACGAGACCCAGATCTCAATGCTCCCAAGCTCTTTTTATCCTTAGTGACATCCCTACATCCCCTCATCTCAGCGACACAGGGTACTTCTTCTTGTGTGCTTCCAGTTCCTGCTGGCCGGGGCATACTTCCATTGTTTTGATTCTCTTTCTGCTCGCACACACAATTATCCAATTTCTATCCATTCCCCCTGACCAGGGCACAAACACCATTTTCCTCCTCACAGCCCTGCACTCCTCGCTGAATACCACTGCTCTATTATTGTCATCCTGGTTGCATTTAGACTGGCAGGGGAATCAGCCAACCCTTTATGGTATTTTTATTTTCAATTTATACCATCCAGGCCTCCGCAGCAACTCCATAGTTAAGGCTGCATAGATCCCAATGTAAATACATCTGTGGATGCTGCTGCTGCTATGTTTCTGAGCTGATCTTCCGACCAAGAGCCTGTAGCCCACCACTGCCAATGCCCACGCCATGGAGATGTGCTTTCCAGCAGGTAGGTACTAAGACATTTGAACCAGAAGGTTGCGCTCACATATGCGGCAGGAGGCCAGGAAGGCACAAGGAAAGGGCATCAGCAGCTGAAGTAAAGTAGAACTGTGCTGCCCAAAGGCTATAATGAGCATGTGCACCTTGTACTGTGTTTCGGGGAGGGGGGCAGTTGACCTCTTCCCCCCCTCCTCACACATACACACACGCGCGAGCGCGTGCTCTCCCTCCCCTCCTCCACCAACTCCAGTTATTAAGAAAGAAGAGCCGGAGACAGTGCGGAGACAGATATGCAGCAAGTCTCTGCATTCCTCTTTGTGAGTATCTCTCTCTCTCTGCTTTCCGAGGAGACGGATGGACAGACATGCGGGTGGCTAGAGGCAGACCGTTTCTCTAATTACACAGCTAATGGGGGGGAGAGAAGGAGACAGCCTCTTCTCGCATCCCCTTCACCATCCCCTGTTCTCAGCCTCTCTTCCTCTTCCTCCTTTCTGACCACGGCGTTGTCCGAACGGGAGAAGCTGCTGACAGGTAAAAGAAAATGGGAAATTCAATTACATCAGGAATCCCACAGAGATGAGGACTCAGCAAAATAAAACCCAGAGAGAGAGAGAGAGAGAGAGAGAGAGGAGCCGGGGCTGTTCTGCCGCAGCTGCTAGGCAGGCTCCTCTGTAGAGATGGACAGCCGTTCTAGCTGCCCCCAGCAACCAGCTTTGATCCCAGAATGGGACAGGGAGCAGGAAGGCCCCGATGGACAGATAGACAGGCAGACGGGAAGGGTTGGACGAGGGGGTGGGGGAGGGTACCCTGGGCACAGCATCTGTTTGGGATCTCTCTTCATTTTCCTTCCCTTCCTCCCCCCTCCCCATGCATATAAACACGCACACATGCTTCTTCAGAAGTGTTTCATTCCTTTTCTCTTTCTCCTTCTTTCTTTCTTTCTTTCTTTTTTTCTTCCAAATACTAAAATCAGCCTCCTTCCTCCATTTCAGCTGGGGTTTTCTTGGGGAGGGGGGGCAGGGGCATGCAGGTTATGCATATCTGTGTGTATCTGTACGTGTACGTGTGCGTGCATGCGTGTGTGTGTGTGTGCAGTGCCAAGTGAGGAAACAGACCCATATGTTCTCGCCGGGTGCTACAGCAAAGGACTTTGACAAAAACGCAGGAGCATGAGAATGAGAGAGATTGAGGGAGAGAGAGAAAGGAAGAGGGTGATGGATGTTTAAGCTCCTTGCCCTTTCCCAGTGTTTTACTGAACTCTAGTAGGGCTGGTGTGTGTGTGCATGTGGAGGGATGGGGTGGGAGGAGGGAGGGAAGGAGGGAGGGAGAGCATACTGCAGGAGCTGGGACACCCAGCTGCATGGAGACGGGGAACTGTTAAGCTGCTGCATGCATTAAAGATTGCTCAGTGTGCAGGAGAAAGCTCCTTTGTGGTACATGAGTGTAAATAGTATTCTCTCCTCCCCTTTCCTTTCTGCCATCCTCCCTCTTCTCTACCTACTCCCTTTCCCTTCTCCTCACTCTCTCCTCTGTCCCCCTTCTCTGGTTTCTCCCTCTGTTGGCTCCTTCTGTCTCCCGTTTTCCATCCCTTCTCCCAAATCCCCTTCCCTTTTTCCATCCCCATCACTTTCCACCCCTCCCCCCACCTCCGTCTGTCACAGAAAATTTCACTTTGCCAGGATACAGTTTTGTGAATTCACGGCAGCCACCACGGAGAAAATACAAGAACCCCCCTTGGGCCCTCCATGTCCCTTTGAGGGGGCGTTCTGGACCCAGAGACCCACGAACATCCCCCACCAGGGGTGTTTCACTTGCATTTCCAAGCCCCCTGCCATACAGCCAGCTTCGCCTGTCCTGTCTCCTTCTTCCGCTGTTTACCTTATGGAGAACAAGAGCTGCAAAGGGGACAGCCTGCGGCCAGCGGTCCAGTGCAAGCACTCGGTGGAGAAGAAGACGATGACGAACCCCACCACAGTGATTGAGATTTACCCAGACACCACCGAAGTGAATGATTACTATCTCTGGTCCATCTTCAACTTCGTATACCTCAACTTCTGCTGTCTCGGTTTCATCGCCTTGGCCTATTCTCTGAAAGTAAGTACCGCTCCTACTAAGCTACGCTCCGGGGCTGCCTTGAGGGGAAACACGCTGTGCCATATCTGGTGTAAATTGGCATTGTGCTGTTGAAATCAGTGCAGCGATATTGATTTACGCAGGCAAGGATCGGGTCCCATTCCAGTAATACATGCTGTCAGCGGGAGATAACGGGTTTGGGAACATTGCTTTGTGATTGACACAGGTATTTTGCCTTGTGATTTTGATGTAAATCCATTTCTGTGAGATGAGGCTGTTGAACACAAAGGCACCTGGATACTTTGGTGATGGGCTTTGAAGCCAGGCTGAAAGATCAGGAGGGATCTCTGATGGGTCTGAGTCAGCTTTTGTTGTGACTGGAGAGATTTATAATTCTTTCTCTTTTGGTGCACTTGGGTACCCTGTCATGGCAAGCACGAGAATAGCTGAATATTTCAGCGGAAGGAAAAATAACCTGGTCACCAGCCAGCCAGAATCCCACAGCGTCTGGAGGGGTGCAGAAGGGAAAATACCCATTGTCAGAGGAGATGTTCTCAGGGTGCGGGGGAATCCAAATTGCAGACCAGTTGCTGCGTATCATAACAACAAGCACATTCATATTCTCCTAGCACTTTTGCAAATGATTCAGCCTTGTGACTTTCCTTAGGGAAAAGAGTCTGATCCCCATTTTGCAGATAGAAGTGCTGAGGCATGGTGGGGGGCTAGCATTCAGAGACCTACCAGTGATCACTCAGGAAACTCATAGGAGAGCTGGGAACAGAAGCAGTGAATGTCTGGCTTGTGGTCCTGTGTTCACCACCCTAAAATCTCTTGCTTCAATATCACACCAGCATCCTGAGGCACTGGGTATGGGAGTTTAGCTAAAGACCATGGGTCAGATCCACAGCTTGTATAAATCACAGTAGTTCTATTGACTGCGATAGAGCACTGTTGATTTACATTATTTAAGCCTCTGGCTTAGTACTGGAAAAGGAAGTTTTCATCCTTTTAAGTACCCTTTGATTTCAGAGGGTATGCTTCCTTTAATTCCAATGGGCTTTGGATCAGGACTGTAGTAAGACTGTTTTATGGCATGAAGTGGGTAACAAGAGCTCCAAAAAGAAGAAATCCTTTAAGGAGAGAGAGTACCTGTGCAAGCTGGAGGGCCTCACAGACCCAGAAGACACCACTAGCCACTTCTGCCCTGTTTCTTGTCCCCTCTACACTATTCCTTGCATGCTCTGTCAATCAGAGCACAGCCCCTGCCTCCAGTGTCCTTCAGTGGTGGGACCAGAAAGGCATAAAACATTTTGCTTTTTCCCCTGTTTCTGCATAAAACACCAGGAAGGAAAGCAGCTCATGGCCGTCCTTTCCCTTGACCTCATGAATCATTAGGCCATATTCAGAGACCTGCCAGGACTGGGAGAATAAGCTCTGCTAACTAAAGAGGTGGGAGACCACAGCAGGCTTCACACATGAGAACTGTGGTTCTGGAAACAGATGCATTAGTGAAGCAGGAGTCCGTGTGTAAAGGCAGCTATGAGAGGGCCAGTGGGACTGTGTTGCTTCAGGGGTATCCAGGGTTAGTCTTGCAGCACTTGGTTTACTGGATCATCCTAGAAGTATTGCCCCGGTCTGGTACTTCTCCCTGATAGCGCTGTAACCTTTCATGAGGTAACATGATCCTTTGAGTCCATGAAACCTTCTGTAATTTTTCCCTGTAGCTGCAGGGTGAGAACAGACCAGCTGAGCTGCAGGATTTCATTGCTGGTGAGCTTGGCCAACAAGCATTTCCTGATCATCTGTCCAGAAAAGATCTGGGCTTTTGTTACCTTTTTAACAAAAACAATTAGGTGAATGTATATACAAATGAGATACAGTATGTACAAATGATTGGCCCTGAATGTAGCTTGGGTGGCTTCGGGGACAGGACTCAAGTTGATGAGCTTGGGTAGGGAGCATTTACAAAAGGCCAATCTACAGATGGAATTCAGCACAGAAACAGAATAGTTAACCCAGCATTAGTGATCACAAACACTACGGGAGTGCAAGGAGAATGTGTCTAAATCAGGTATGCACCGGGGCTGTCTGGGGGTCAAGGCAGTGTGATATAGCACACCAACCACAGGACTTAGGATGGGAACAGTTTCATGTCTTCCCTTCAAACAGGGGTGTTGGCAACCTGAATTCACCATTGTTTATAAGACATTGAATGTACAGGGCTCTGCAGGTGGCAATCATGCCCACTGTCAGGACTGTCCCAAGGTCATACATTAACCTCAAAAGAATAGTGATAAGGATGACTGTCTTCTCACAGGTGACTCCCTTGAGTACAGTAAAGCATGTGGCAAGAAACAGGCTTTTTCCATCACAAAAAATGTATTTATTAATTTGAATGGGCTTTAATAACCTGTAATCTTCCCCCCAACATGCACACACACACGGGTTGTAACCACGTAGGTTGAGGAAAGATTTAATTTCTGGAGCGCTAGGAATAAAACCGGAGATTTCAATACCCGCAACTCACTGATGGAAAACAATAGCACGGGCAATACAGAAGCACCACTCAATCCTTTCAGGGATGCAAAAGAAAAGATAGAGTTTTGTTTGCTTCTTGCAAGTCTTGTAAATAACTTCCCCCTCTGCTCTCCCCTTATACCAAAAGGAAATGCCAGCTGGCAAGGAGAAGAAAAATCTCCATGCAAATGTTGTATAGTGGTAGGGCAGGGCCAGATCCTGACCTCTGTGGTAGACGAAAGGGCTTCATCTTTCATGGGCACAGGCCCATAATCATCATCTGCAGAGATCTCATCCGATGAGAACTAGGGAAAAAGGAAATGCTGAACCTCAAAAAACAGCAATGTATTTTGGAGTGTGCAATCAGTAGCCTCTCAGACTGTGACACAATAGTCTCCTGTAAGGGAATCCCCATCACTTTCTCTGCATACATACCCACCTCTAAACCGAACCAAGCAACAGTGAATAAGCTGTGGGGAACAGTGGTGCTCTAGCATAGGACAGACTAAACCCTATAGGTCTTTGCCATCTCTCATGCTTTTGATTTTGTGACAGAAAGAAAACTAAGAACAAAACAGTCCTCAGTGCAGGGTGGTGACCACTACTTCTTAAGGCAGGCTTCTAGGGGCAGTCTAGGAGAGCATATCAGGCATATATGGCATCACATCAGGCATATCTGGAAGCAGCGAAAGTGCTTGTCTGGGAAAGCCCTACAGAACCTGAAAGCAAATGATATTCTCCTGGTATTCTTATTTATCCTGGAGAGTTTAATTTTTAAAGAACTGTATCCCTACTGAAGAATTTTTCTTGAGGTGGTGGGGGGCAGTGTTGTGTGCATGTGTCCCTCTCTATTAGTTCCTGTGGAATTTTACAGCCACGCTTTCATCTCTGTTACATGCAATCAGCCTTTGCTGCAAGGCGAGAGGAGCCTGGAACAGGGAACACACAAGTTCCCTACTTAGACCTTCCCCGGAAATGAACTCTGAACTCAAAATTTACAAACATGGGTTTAGGCCTTGATTGTGCAAGGATCTCTGTGCCTAGAAGAGACCCCATGGGGACCTGACAGTCCGCTCATATAGAGTTCAGCACAAAACTGGGGCCTTGGTTGTGGTTGAAGTCAAAAGGCCAATCTTTGGAATCCCAGCTCTTTGCTGGGGATGCCTGGGTCTCTTGGTTGGAGGGCTGCCAATACGCTGAAGGCTGGGGACCCTGAGATTTGGTTTTTTACCCTTCTTTTTAACATAAATTAAACATTAAAAACTTTGTTTTAAATACCTGAAATAACTGCTTTCGATAAAACCTAGTCAACATCATATATATTTGCCAAACTCAATCTCTTTTGTTTTATGACCCAGTTCAGCAAAGTACTTAAGCAGCTGTCTAATGCAGAGCATGTGAGCAGTCCCACTGACTTCACTAGGACTATTCAGGTGCAGGAAGTTAGGTATGTGCCTGCACTCCTTGCTGAATCAGGATCTTTAGGGTCCTCTCACATTACATTTTAAAATGTCTGATTCTCTTGCCTATCTTTTCATGTGCCTCAGGCACCATCATGAAAATAATACACTGACTTCTCTGCTTCCCATGACTTTATGCATCCCAAAATATAGGTAGCTAGCTAGAGCTTTCGTTATGTGAATATACATAGGTTGTAGCACCAAAATGAGGTAGGTGGTCTAGAAACACATAGGTTCAAGCACCCTAGAGCTGACATTCTCAGTCAAAGAAACGTACAAAGTTCTGGAGAGGCCAAGTCCACCAGCCAAGTGTTTCAGGTAATCTTTGTGGCTGAATATCTTGTCATTTCTTATACCCTCTCTTTATAACCCTTGGTGAGCCAGATGCTCAGCTGATATAAATCAGTGTCACTCATTGACTGTTACTAAGTTTTGCTCATTTCCACCAGCCTAGAATTTGTTCCAACATCTCAAGCTGCTCAGAAAAGGAAGCAGCAGGATTTGTAGTGAGCAGAAGTGTGTTTTTAGAGGTAGGTGAAGGATATGATTAGGGATGAAGGCAGAGAAATGTTAAGTCCCAGTTAGCATTAAGTTCAGCTTATACCGTCTCCTATCTTTGGATGGATAGATAGAGAGATATACATTGTTTTCTCTTGCTACAAAGAACTGTTGTGGCCTTGACTTTTACATGAGTTATTTAGCTTGCTTCCCACCTCTCCCCTGTTTCCCAGTTCTAAGCTCTAATAAATGATGCATCAGCACTTGCTGTTAGGAGATCATACTTCAATCACCAGTAGATCTATCACAAGAGACTGCTAGAGAAAGCCAAATCCTTTGCTGAACCAATTACATAAAGAGGCAGTAGATCAGAGAAGCTGAGTTCTCAGTCAGATTTTATTATGGAAGATTTGGACCTGGGGAAAACAAGGAATTCCAACTTCTTGTTGTGTTCCAGGGTTTTGCTTTCTGTGTATTATGTCCACCAGGTGATTCTGTCCCATCACAAAAGGATTCAATACTACAAAGCTCTCAGAGCTATAAGGC